AATTTAAATTGTCATTTCCTCGTCAATTTCAAAGATCGTATTATTACTAAGAAATATATATATGCTAGCTATCAACTGCTCAAATTTATATTTTTGTATCAATTTTGCAAAACTTTTTACTTCGTATTGCTTCACAGTTAATTTACTTGTAAGTAAAGTTTTGTATTCCAAAATAAAAATTTGATCAAAATTTTCTCTTCGTATGCACACAGTTCAGCTTAAATCTGCATGTTTCAATATTTGGTTTTAAAGGAAAATATATATATCGCAAGAAATCTAAACAAACCTTGACAAGTTATGAATTCTATAGGGATAACTCGTTCTTGTAATGGTTGCACACCTCTCGTCCAACACAAATTGGAAATATCTGTTTTGCGCTCGAAGTTTGATAACGTTGACGAGATACGCTCCGCCACTTGCACCGGTCTTCTATGCGAATCAGTATAAAATTTAGGTGATCTGAAATGCGCAAAGTTTTTTTTAGGATTAAAGCCAAAGCGATGAATAGTACAATAAATTGTAGCAAAGTAAAATGCTACCAAATTGACTGCATTTTTCTCTCTAACCAAAACGAAAACAAGCAAACTTCCAGTTTCATTTTTATTCCTTAATTATTTTTATGCTTATTTTAACGTGCGGGAAACGTGCAAATAATATAGACTTTACAAATTTGCGTCAAAAAATATGTCGTAAATTGCATGAGTATAATTTCAGAAATGTTTGCATAACATTAACAATAAGTGGGAAGTTTTTGCAGAGCACTGATATAACATCAGAAGTTCACAACAGTATCCGTTGGAATGAAATAATTCGTCTAGGATAAGATATTAATTTTGATTACTCTGTAATATAATACGGATATCAGTAAACCATAAGAGATGGCATTCTAATCAAAAGTTTCGTATGCTAGAAAATTTCGCTTCGTGAGGATTTCTACCGCTATCAATCTCTTATGATTGGTGATGCCAGCTTTTATCAAAATTGCTTCATGTTGCTTCGTGTCGTGCACCAGGATATCCCGCTGAATCACATTTATTTTTATAGCCGTTCTTACTAGCATATCGACTCTTTCAATTATGATACAGGAATTTTTAGCATTCGCATTTTGTATACCTTTGCATTATGATTTTCTTTTCTATTTCGCTATACAAGAGTGCCTTCTAAGCTGTTAATACATTTTCAACGGTTCAATTTTCTAGAATGTTGTACCGATAGTGTTTAGATAGGATATAATATTTTGTGGAGTACGTGTTGTGAGCTTTTTTACGCTTCAAAATCGCCGCACACTTGGTGGTATAAGCGCGATATCTATAAGAACATGATGTAATTGGAGAAGCATAAGCTTCACTTGTGGTCTCAATATTATGAAGTCCACGTTCTAGCTCGTCCCTTGGCAGATTGCAGCCTTTCCAAACATTCAGGTTGGTTATGAATCTCTTATTTTAATGAGATCGAAAATGCAAATACAACAATATTTACGAAAGCAGTGAATCTCGATAGTGTGTAACAACCTGTTTTTCTTGCTTTGCAAACCTGATAATAGGAACCGAATTGGTAACATATATTTTCCAAGTGTAGTGTTAAATATTTGACAAACTCATGAAATTTGCTTGAAGTTCATTGCCAACTCGTAAATATCGTTTCAATTATTAAACTTTGTGTTCTTTGCCAGCATTAAACTTTCAACTGACGCGCGATTTGTGCGTGGTTTGAAATAATTATTATGGAGAGAAAATTTTTAAAATAATCATTAGAGAAATAAGAGTAATAATTTCATAAATTTGGAATTAGTACAGAAAATAAAGTGAATATTGAAAGTATAATATAAAATATAAATCTTAACACAGAAAAAAGTGAAATGATTGTTGAAAAGTATAAGCAATGAAATCAGAAAAGAATCAAATAAATAACTTTTGCGTGGCATCACGGAAGCGATACATATTCTACTGCAAGAATAATTCAAAAGGAATGAATTTCGAATTTTATAAAGACGACAGACAGCCTCCAAAGTTCATCAAACTTATACATAATTCACTGGCAAAGAATGAAAAACAAATAACTTTGCGCAATTGCATTGCAATGACCTTTGTCTTCCCTTCGGCCAGTACATCAACTTTTGCCCTCTTTCTCACTTAATAATAACTTCATTGCAACAAAAAGTTTTTTATAAAAATGCAAATTTTGTAATATTATTTTATCACAAAAGTCAAAGTAAGTAAGTACTGATCTTCCAATTTGATTGGCTTTAATTTGTAACGATTCAAAAAATATATGAATAAACCAAACTGCTGCAATTATTTCTTATTCATAAAATTTTTCACTTGTATAGCATTTATGCTAATATTAACTGAACAAAAAGTTATTTAATGTAAAAAATGAGGCAGATTCTGAAGGACAATGATTGATGTGAGGAAAGGATTGTTATATTTGAATGAAATTTTAAATATGAAATAATAAGCACAAGTACAGAATTTTCGAAGTATCATTTTTTGAATGAAAAAATACAAACCTAAAATATCTATGGCCGTTTTTAGTTAGCATCAATCTGTGTGCTTGAAAAGAAATTGACTGATTGGCATGAAGAATTGTTGGAGTATTGTTTCCTTGAGATTTATGATGAGATTCCAAGTAATGTGGAGATAGTGGAAGTGGAAAAGTTGATCTGATAGTACCTATTGGTTTCAATAAAGATTCTACGCGCAGATTAGATGATCTGAAACATTTACTGACAATTAAATTAAGTTTGGTTTTTTTTTGTTTTGTTTGCTATTTAAAGAGTTCTTCATTTCAACGTTACAGAAGCTTTTTGTTTTTTCCAAATTTGTGAATGCAATGCAATACTTTGAGTATTTCAGAAATGACACGTTTCAGTAAAGAACGCAGTTATAACTTGAATTTATTCATGAAAAAACAATCGAACAATTTCAAACAGAAATTTAGAACTTGTAAACACTATAAATATACAATGGTAACTTTTTACTCGATTAGTTCTGATTGATTTTGAAGGGCTAGAAAAAAGTTTTAGAGCAATTACATCGGATTATTCAGCTTGATAGATTTTGATGAGGACAGTATATTACAGTAAATATCAAACATGTCTGCTATGATATCCGCATATAATGCATGTAAAAAGCGATTTAATGCAAGCATTGTGTTCATAAGAATCAGCAATAAATGTTTGAGTGGGAAAACTAATTTTAAATTTGATACATTGACAAATAATAAGTGATTGAATAAATGGCCTAAATGTATTTCTAGAATGAAATTTGAATTATAAATTAGCAAGAATTTAGAAACAGAGGGAAAATCACTCAGTGCTGCAGTAGCACTCAAATATATGTATGTCAGAGAGTAATAATTCCTTTGTTGAACTCTTTAAAAGTTACTAATGAATCGTAGACTTCCTTATTCACTAATTTTTACTTACTTACTCGTTTTCTGCAAGAACATAATTCAAGAATTAACTTTTTTATTTTATTTGATGCTATTTTTTTGCACAAATTTATGATTAGTTTTTTAAAACAAACTTTTACTCATTTATTTTTCAAAAAATTATTTTTAGTCTCACAAATTAAAATTGAATTCTAAATTATTCTTTTTCGAAGGCTAAATTATTCTTATAAATAATATTTTTTTACTGTTTAAAAAGTTTCAGAAGTAATTAAGCTTTGGACACACTTTTTATGTTTATAAAATTAAGAAGCAAAGCTCAAAATTTACTTCTGAAACTTTTTAAACAATAATGGTTTTATCTCATAAACAAAGTTGACTATAAACATAAAAAGTGTATTTAGCAAAGGATTACTTGACATTTATTATAAACATTTCGTACTAATTTTTTGAGATTCTGCACAAATTTTTTGTTGAATCGTTTTGTAAATTAATTTTAGAAGGCATTTTCCGTTTTAAAAATCTCATATCAGTCAAAGATAAAACCATTATTCTTGTTATGCTAACAACAGAAATAACCCTTAATTATTGAAATAATGATACTAAATAATGATATTTAAATTTAAATTATTTATAATTTGTTCAATATGATATTGATGATGACATTTTATGATGCCCATTCTATTTTAAAAATTTTATCAATTTATTTTAGCATAAATTTTAGACTAACAAAATTTCATTTAAGTTAACTTTGTTGAGTACAGTAGGAAATGAAACTATGCCTAGAAAGACTCGAAGCTGCTTAATTAAACTTAGTTAATTTTATGTTCTGCTTGTTTTCAAATTCAAAAGATCTTAAAAAAACAAAGCAAGGAAAACTAAATGTCAGTTATTAAAAACAAATGTTAGTTGTTAAAGATAACGCCCAAATTTGTCTTAATCTTATAGTAATTTTTTCACATTTCTTAT